AAAGATCACTCTAGAAATTAACTCACTCTATGCAGTTTTAGTGACAGAGTTCAGATTCTTAAATTTTCTTTTTTCCTTTCCCCTCCTGACGCTAAAGAACAGCTGGAAAGCTAGAATTGGTACTACTGATGGCACTGGATTACTAGATACCGCTAATTATATTTATTCTAATGAATTAGCTCCTACAGTTTATATACCAATTTGAAACTTCCCCCTACAAATATGCCTGGTACTTCCTAAAGGAATTAACCTGTTAAATAAAGCGTGTTCGTTCAAAATGATAAATTGAAATAAGTTAAGGGAGTCAGCCAAGTTAAATGAACAAACTTCTCTATTGATCCTTGTCAAAGCTGTCTATGAATATGATGAAGCATGACAGGAATTCATTTAGCAATGATCCCTGAGGCTATGGGCTCTGTGGGCGAATGAGACCACAATGTGAGTTTATATGAATCAACCTGAAAAAGCAAGTATGTGGAGCAACCAGGGTTGTCAAGGGCCATATACTGCTAGTAAAGCCCCCAGTTAGGGTACAGCAGCTATAAGATAAGTCTTTTTTTATGAGCTAGAGGCCTTTCTGCATTGCAATTTACTAAATCCTATATGAACACGACATTCCAGATCAATAGGCCTGTGGTCATGGAGCAGTGCTGTTCTAAACATACAAAACTAAAACTAACCTGCATAAATAACCTGAATATTCTGAGGAGGAGTCTGGTGGCACCTTAAAGACTTATTTGGGCATAAGCTTTCGTGGGGAAAAAAAACCCCACTTCTTCAGAAGCATGGAGTGAAAATTACAGTTGTAGGCATAAGTATACTGACACGTGAAGAGAAGGGAGTTACCTTACAAGTGGAGAATCAGTTTTGGCAAGGCCAATTCAGTCAGGGTGGATGTGGTCCACTCCCAATAATTGATGAGGAGGTGTCCATACCAAGAGAGGGAAAATTGCTTTTGTAGTGAGCCAGCCAGTCCCAGTTCCTATTCAAGCCCAAATTAATCATGTTAAGTCTGCAAATGAATTGTAGCTCTGCAGTTTCTCTTTGAAGTCCGTTTTTGACTTTTTTGTTGAAGAATGGCTACTTTTAAATCTGTTGAGTGTCCAGAGAGGTTGAAGTGTTCTCCTACTGGCTTTTGTATGTTACCATTCCTGATGTCTGATTTGTGTCCATTTATCCTTTTATGTAGAGACTGTCCGGTTTGGCCAATGTACATGGCAGAGGGGCATTGCTGGCACATGATGGTATATATCACATTAGTAGATGTGCAAGTGAATGAGCCCCTGATGGTGTGGCTCATGTGGTTGAGTCCTCTGATGGTGTCGCTAGAGTAGATATGGGGACAGAGTAGGCAACAGGGTTTGTTACAGGGATTGGTTCTGGGTTAGTGTTTCTGTGGCAATGTGTGTAGTTGCTGGTGAGTATTTGCTTCTGGTTGGGGGGCTTCTGTAAGCGAGGACTGGCCTGTCTCCCAAGGTCTGTGAGAGTTGGGGATCGTTTTCCAAGATAGGTTGTAGATCGTTGATGCTGTGCTGGAGAGGTTTTAGCTGGGGGCTGTACGTGATGGCCAGAGGTGTTCTGTTGTTTTCCTTGTTGGGCCTGTCCTGTAGTAGGTGACTTCTGGGTACCCGTCTTGCTTTGTCAATCTGTTTCCTCGTTTCCCCGGGTGGGTATTGTAGTTTTAAGAATGCTTGATAAAGATCTTGTAGGTGTTTGTCTCTGTCTGAGGGATTGGAGCAAATTCGGTTGTATTTTAGGGATTGGCTGTAGACAATGGATCGTGTAATGGGTCCTGGATGTGTCTGTTGCATCTGATGCATTTGTTGCATCTGAAGAAGTGGGTTTTTACCCACGAAAGCTTGTGTCCAAATAAATCTGTTAGTCTTTAAGGTGCCACCGGACTCCTTGTTGTTTTTGTGGATACGTGGCTACCCCTCTGATACATTCAGATCTCACTAGAATATTCAGGTATTTGAGCTTTTGTTGAAGATAGCAGTTCAATTTTTTTCACCCATTTTTGAAAGTTTTGACCCTAGTTTGTTTATATGTTTTCAGCTATCTAATGTGTCTTATACCCTTCTGTTACCTTGGTATCTGAGAACCTGAATCCTATCTGAAGAAGGGAAGAAAGATGGTCCAGTGTTAGGACACCAGCCTGAGACTTGGCGAACCCAGGTTCAGTTCCTTGTTCTGCCAGTGTGACTGTGGGCAAGTCACTTAGAGCTCGATTTTTAAATGTATTTTAGATGCCTAAAGGTGCAGATAGGTGTCTAACTCACATCTAAACCAGTGGGAGTTGGGAATCTAGGCACTTTTGAAAATCCCTCTAGGTGCCTATTTGTATCGCCATGTGCTTAAATGCTTTTTAAAATCTGGCTTTTAATCTCTGTGCCTCCATTTCCCACCTGTAAAATGGGGGAAATAGCACTTCCCTTCCTCATAGGGCTGTTGTGGGGCTAAATACATTAAGGATGATGAGGTGCTCAGATAGTACAGTGAAGGGGGGGAGCAATATAAGTACCAGAGATAGAGATTTCTTCTGTGGGGTCTGTAGAAAATATTTTTACATACCAATGTTTGTTCATAAGAGATTAAAAATATGCAGTATTATACAGAATACATCATTTAACTCTATCTTGTTTTACAGATACACATTTCAGCATTTGTCAGTATTTTTCTCTGTATACTACTCTTTCCTGTAGTGCTGATACAACATCAAATGTTTTCTTGAAATCCATATAAGATTCTGATCACTCATTTATTTTTATTGTCCAGTGAATCCATTATATATCTCATGCAATCTAAACTCTTATTGACTTCATTTAGAGCTTTGGGTGCATAAGGGACTCAGGGTCAGGCCCCTCTTCAAAAACTCAACTTGCCAGCCATAGACCTGCTGAATTTATGCTTTCCTAAATTGTTTTGTAACCTTGGTCCTCAACTAATGTCTCTAAATTTTTGCTAGAGCTGATTTTTTTTTGTCAACTTTCAAAATTTTGGCTACATTTCAATGAAAATGTAAGAAAATAATTTTGAAAGAAAATTCACAATCATCCCCTCCTTTCTCTCCCCTTCAACAATTTCCAGTTCCTCAAACTGATCTGATTACACATCATAGAGACAACTTTTGTGTTCCTTAATCAGCCAAAATGCCCTATGTTTCAACTGAAGTTTTGACTGCATAAGGACTGCAGAGATAGGGTCTTAGTTTCTTGTTTCAGTCTTGTCCTTGGATGTTATGTCTCCTAAAGGTACTCAGAAAAGTGTAACTTTTTAAAACAATTCTGCACAGCAACTTGCAAGCTAATCTTTCATACTTTTTAGTGATTTTTCTGAAACACTTTTACTACTTTTTAATTTTTGTTGCTATGAGTTAAAATTAAAGTTGTGGTTCACAGTGGAGGGGTAGTGGAATTTGGGGTCCAGGTGTGAAGCTTCACATGCTGTGACATATTTTGTGTCATGAGTTGTACCTGCGTAACCTGTAGTGCTCACACCATTAGTGCTAGGAAAGGGATACAGCATTGTTTCTTGGTAAACTTTGGGGAGGATTTCTTAAAAGTTTGCTCCCAAGAGGGTAGCACTCGCATTTACGAGCTTGCCAAGTGCCAGCTTCAGATTCACCCCCTTAAAACATCAAGTCATACCTCTAATAGAATCCTAGAAATGTAGAGCTGGAAAGGACCTCAAGAGGGTATCAAGTCCATCCGCCTGTGCTGAGGCAGGAGCAAGCATACCCAGGCCATCCCCAGCATATGTTTGCCTAACCTGTTCTTAAAAACCTCCAATGATGGGGATTCCACAGCCTCCTCAGGTAACCTTTTCCAGTGCTTAACTATTCTTATAGTTAGGGGGGGGAAATCTAATGTCTAATCCAAATATATCTCGCTGCAAACTAAGCCAATTACTTCTTGTCTTACCCTTGGTGGACATGTAGAACAACTGATCCCCATCCAACTTTGTAAATGGTTCTCATAAAGAGAAGACTGTTATCGTGTCTCCCCGTAGACTTCTCTTCTCTAGACTAAACATGGCCAGTTCTTTCAACCTTTTTTCACAGGTCACATTTTCTAAACCTCTTATCATTTTTGTTGCTCTCCTCTTGCTATCTCCGATTTGTTTTTCTCTTTCCTAAAGTATGGTGCATCAAACTGGACACAGTACTTCAGCAGAGATCTCACCAGTGCCAAGTAGACTGGAACAATTACCACCAATATTTTATATATTAATGCATCCAAGAATGACATTTGCCTTTTTCACAACATCATCGCAGTATTGACTCGTATTTAATCTGTGATCTGCTATAACCCCTAGATCCTGTTCAGCAGTACGGCCACCTACCCAGTTGTTCTCCATTTTGTATTTGTGCATTTGATTTTTCCTCCTTAAGTGAAGTACTTTTCCCTTGTCTTTTTACTCAAATTTCATCTTACTGATTTCAAACTAGTTTTCCAGTTTATTTAGATAATTTGAATTTTAATCCTGTCCTCTGAAGTATTTGCAATCACCTCTCATCTTGGTGTCATCTGCAGATTTGATAAGTATACTCTCCCCTCCATTATCCAAATCGTTAATGAAAATCTTGAATAGTACCAGACCAAGGACAGACCTCTATGGGATTCCATTTGTTACATCTTCCCGGTTGGACATTGAACCTTGATAACTACTCTTTGAGAATGGTCTTTCAACCAGTTATGCCTCCACCTTATAGTATGTTCATCTCTAGATCATATTTCCCTAGTTTTTTTTTATGAGACTGTCTTGTGGGCAGGGCTGGCTCCAGGCACCAGCTTGCCAAGCAGGTGCTTGGGGCGGCCACTCTGGAGAGAGGCGGCACATCCAGCTATTCGGCGGCAATTTGGCGGACGGTCCCTCACTTCCACTTGGAGCGAAGGACCTTCCGCCGAATTGCCACCGCAGATCGCGATCGCGGCTTTGTTTTTTTTGTTTTGTTTTTTTTTGTGTTTTTTTTCCCTGCTTGGGGCGGCAAAAACCCTGGAGCCAGCCCTGCTTGTGGGACTGTATCAAAATTCCAAAAATCCAGCTACATCACATCTCCTGCTCCCTTCCTATCCACTAGGCCAGTTACCTTGTTCAAGAAGGAAATTAGATTGGTTTGGCATGATTTGTTCTTGACAAATCCATGCTGGCTGTTACTTACCACTGTGTTAGTATAATCCGCAGTTCCTTCAATGAGTGCTTAATCCAGGCTAGAATTTAACAAGACTTTGCATGCTGTTTTATGTCACAACTTTCTGGAAAAGTATCATAAAACTAAATAGATAATAGTTTAATAGCCCACATGCAGAATTTTTAATCTATTGAATTCTATAATAAGGCTACAATTCTTTATTGGGTACTATAGGTTGATTAAAATTCTATAGGAAGGATATAATTCTTAAGTTCTTTTAGGTCTTTAGAATCTTTTAACATTTCTTAGCACCCCATTGGTTTCTTTCCTATTATAATTTATATGTTTTTTTCAATAAGGACAGTTCTGTTTAGTCAGGCAGTTAGGGAGCCTAAAATACTACAGGATCACTGTGTCCTGCAGTCTCAATAAGGCTTTATATTTATTATTGACTTTAGTGGGCTTTGACTCTGGCCCCTATAATAGTGTCCTGTATCTTCTCTACCATGAAGGTCATGGCACTACCTTTGGAATGTCAGTCTTTCCTTTTGTTTGGTAAAAATATCATATGCCACCATCATAATTAACTAAAGCACTAACTGTATGTTCAAGAGGCATAGAATTGCTCTGTGTATGGAAATGTACCAGACCTACAGGTCTGCTGAGCCATTAGATACATGCTTACTGTTGGTATTACTTCATCCACTCTTCATTTCCTTCTGTAGAGATAAGTGCACCAATACATTATTTTTTCAAGGTTGTTGTTTTTTCCTTTACATTTCTAGAACTGTATGTCTAACTTGTTTGTTTTATTTTATTTATATTTAGGTTAGCTCCTGTTTTCATTATTTCACGAGGCTTTCCCTTGGCATATTTGTTTGGTCACTGACAGTAATGAATTAAATGAATTAAATTAATGAATTATGAATTAAAGTCATTGAAGGAGAAAGATCATTGTAGACTGCATTGTCAAGTCTACAATAAGATGTGTGAAAGATCGAAGTTTTTCCTCATTCTTACTGTGATCTTTAACTCATTTTTGGGGCAATGTGTCATTTTCTGGTCTTAGAGGGACAAGGTGGGTGAGGTAATATCTTTTATTGGACCAGCTTCTGTTGGTGAGAGAGACAAGCTTTGGAGCTTACATTGAGCTAAGATCGAAAGTTCGTGTGTCTCACCACAGAAGCTGGTCCAATAAACGATCTTATCTCACCCACTTTGTCTCTCAACTATTCTGGGACTGACACAGCTACAACACTATTTGTCAGAGGGGTGCAGCTAGAATCTCTATAGTAGGTTTAAGTCTGTTCTTATTTCAGTCCATCTGATTTGCACATCCCTGGTACCCCTATAATGTATATATCTTAATTGTACCTAGAGTACCCATCTCAGTAATAGCTAAGGTCAAGTAGTATAACCATGTATTAGCAAAGTAATATAGCAATGTGCTCTAATGTTTTGGATATTGGCAGTTATCTGTATTCTCTATTTCCACTGATTGCGAGTTTCAACACAACCCTCCTACCTACTCCAAGGGTAGGAGTGGGATGGCTAGGCCATTTTAAAAAAAGACTCGTGATAACACAATATGCTGATCTGACTGGACTACGATGGCTCCTCTTTCCAATTGTTTCTCAAGTCCAGGATTTTGAAAGCTGGCTCACTGAATAGACTATTGGCTAACCTTTCAGCTCTAAAGAAACTGAGGTAAATAGGTGTTTCCCTACCCAGAGGGCATTTGATTAGATGGGGAGTGGGAAGTACAGGGTAGAAGAGAAGAACTAATGTGCTGTCAAGTCTGCATGATCCCAAATCTGCCCTCTCCCTCACCTTCACACCTGCACCCTATTATTTTTTTTATTATTATTATTATAGTGCCCAGGAACCCTAGTCAGGAACCAAGACATGTGCAGTGCCTAACACAATCAAGCAGAACAAAAAAATGGTCCCTGGCCCAAGAGGATTACATCTGGGTAAAAGACAAGGGACAATAGATGCTTACAAACAGATGGTGAGTATAAGGAAACAGAGACAGTGTTGGTTAGCATGATATGCAGTGATATCAGCTCACCAGCACCCTCACCATAGACAAGTTTTTTGTAGGCATCACAGCAAAGGAGAGTTTTTTTTAAGGATAGTGTTGAAGGCAGGTAATGAATTAGTTTTGTGCCTGTATATTGGGAGCTTCTCCCATGCATGAGGGGCAACACGGGAGAAAGCATGAAAGTACTTGTTTGAAAATTTAACTCCTGAGCACTAGAGGCTGGCACCATTGGCTGATTAGAGATGGGATTTGACATCTTGATCCTGAAACAAGATAGGATAGGTAGGGTAGGAATAGGCCTTGAAAGTGAAGACCTGGGCTCTTATACAGTTAACAGGTGGGTCCTTGACAGCTGGCTTCTTGCATTCCTGCTCTCAATTTGCAGTCAGTCATGGGAATGGTTCCAGTAGACAGTGTTTCCAGCTCAGGTAACAGTCCACTAGCCCAAGCTTTGTCTCTTTATTCCTGTGGCAGAAGGCTGCAAAAGTGCCCGTGTCTTGAGCCTAGGAGCTTTCTGTTGCATACAAAGAGGACGAGTCATCAGGGATGTGGAAGGAAAAAATAAAAACTTGAAGTCAACTAACAGAAGAAAGGGGAAGAATAAATAAAGGAAAGAGTTAAAAGAATGAATGGGGAAAAAAGAGAATGTAGCAACTGTCAGGACAAGATGAGTTGGGAACACAGAGGAACACATCTGATGATCCATTGGTAATGGGTTCCATCATATGATGGCTGCAACACACTGTATGTAGATGTAAAGTGGTGGTGTGCTCCTCCTGTGCCACCATGCAATTTGGAATCACTGGTGCAGATAGATTCTGGTGACACAGTAGCAGGGGCAATTCAGGATGTTGTTTAGGCACCACGGGAGAATGGAAACCTGAACCATGCTTGACTTTGCCAATGCTATGGAAGATATTTTGCTTTTGTGAACACTAAAGCGAGCCATATTTAAAGGGGTAGGTAGTTTATTCATTAGAAGTCATTGGCAGCCACTCTGTTAGCTGTTAGAACACCTTTCGCCTGCTGTATAATGAACGTAATCTATTAGACATAAAAGTTCTGAAGCCTCATTTTCCAGACAAAAGCTGTAATCAGAAGAGAAAACGGCACAAATGAGTCCATTCTTCTGATTTAGACTGCAACAAGCATGGATAAAGGGTTATAAATTTAACTTTTCTCATTTAAAATCTCAAAAAGGGTAATTTTGCTGGCCTCTTCTGATGCCATAAATGTTCCTTTCCTTAACCTCAGCTAAATTTTTTTGCTTCGTGTCAAATTGATGATTGGGGAAGTGTCCTTTCTGTAACAGTTTGATTAATCAATGTGTATACAGGAGATAGGCTAGAATTGTAACATCCATTCCCCTGCGGTGAGGTGAGCTGATATGCAGATTTATAGAGATCTACAAAAATTCTAATCAGGTGTTGAACTCCAGAATTGTACTCAACATTAGTACCTGTGTTTGCATCAAGTATTGTCTCATAAGCATTCAGCATCACTGCCATATTATGAAGCCCCCCCCCCCCAAAAAAAACCCAGAAGTAGGAAAAGTAGGGGCTCCTTTCCCAACCCATCCATGATCAAAGCAACAAAAATAGGTCATATACTTTACATAGATCCTCACTGGAACACATGGGGGTTGATTTTCATATTGGTCAGCAGCACTGACCTGGCTTCTGAGGAAGACTTATGACTGGTGATAACACCTGTAAATTACATGTGATAAAATAAGGGTAATCAAGTTGCATGCTTCAGATGTAAGCTGATTTCTGCTGAGGGGAGAGAGGACTGACTTCTCTCCCTTCCCCCCACTCCCACCTGTATACCATTGCATAAATGATTAGATGCATTTTCCCCACATCAGAGGGGTTTACCTATCTCTGAAATATCAGATACTGGCCATTTGCCAAAGACAGAACACAGAGCTTATTGAAGGGATAGTCAATTTTTTTTTCCTCAAGGTCCAAATTTCTTGGTCAAGGTATAGTCCAGATCCAGATGCCAGAGAAACATTTTTCATCCCACAATAATGATAAAAAGTAAATAAAAAGATTTTGCAGTCCATTCAAAAGCATCTGGCAGTCTGGATTTGGCCTGCAGTGCATCTATTGACTGTTTCTGGCTTATTGGATCAGTGATATGACTAATAGTATGTACCTATACCCCATAGTTGTTGAACAGAGACCATCTAACCCACTTGGGAGGTGTTGGAGGCTACTTCAAATTAGGTTGGATTGCCATGACAGACAAAAAATAGTGCCATATAAGGGAGCTTTTGTCAACGCTCTGCATGTGTCAGTGCCAAGCATGAGCACAGAGGTTCTTTTCTAAATTTTGGCTCATTAAGCGTGAAATAGAGGGCCAGTCTCTAGCATGGACTAATGTTTAGCTGAAAGTCTTTCACTGACAGCTTGTATGAAATGGATTTTTTTCCCCTCCTAAATGGAGCTGGAATAGCAATGGTGGCTGACACATTTTGCACTCAACTGAAAGAGATTTTAATGCATCTTGTAGCAGTGGGGTGCAAAAGTTTGATAGTTTCTTTCCAGTGAGTGCACAGAGGAGCAGGAGAGCCGGTTTTTATTTGCTATGTTTATTTTTGGATGCTCTGAAGCTGAAGAATGCTTCAGATGTAAGCTGATTACTGCTAAGGACAGAGGACTTGCTGCCCCCTACTCCTGCCTCTATGCCATTGCATAATTGGTTAGATGCAGGGGAAGAGTCAACGTGGCTTTCGCAAAGGGAACTCGTGCCTCTCCAATCTATTAGAATTTTTTGAGGAGGCCAGCAAATCTGTAAACAACTGTGATCCAGTGGATATAGTGTGCTTGGACTTTCAAAAAACCTTCTGACAAGGTCCCTCTCCAAAGGTTCTTAAGCAAAATGAGCAGTCATGGGGAAAATCCTCTCATGCATTAGTAACTGGTTTATAGAAAACAAAGAGTAGGAATAAATGGTGTGTTTTCACGGTGGAGAGAGGTAACAAGTGTGATCCCGCAAAGATCTGTACTAAGACCGGTGCTGTTCAACATATTCATAAATTATCTGGAAAAGGGGGTAAAGAGTGAGGTGGCAACACTTGTAGACTACAAAATAACTCAAGATAGTAAAGTCCAAAACAGACTGCAAAGAGTTACAAAGGGATCTCACAAAACTGGATGATTGGATTTATCAACATTGAATTTCCTCTGCCATTTTTTTGCCCAATGTATCGCATGTTGGAAAACATAATCCCGTCTACACATACAAAATGATGGGGTCTAAGATAGCTGTTGCCACTCAAGAAAGAGATCTCAGAGTTATGGATAGTTCTTTGAAAACACTTACTCAATGTGCAGCAGCAATTAAAAAAAGCTAACAATGTTCGGAACCATTAGGAAATGGATAGGTAATAAAAGAGAAAATATCACAATGCCACTCTCTAAATCCATGGTACACCTACACTTTGAATACTGTGTGCAGTTCTGGTCATTCCATCTCAAAAGAGGTACATTAGAATTGGAAAAATTATAGAGAAGGTCAACAAAAATGAGTAGGGCTGTGGCTCAGCTTCCATCTGAGGAGAGATTAAAAAGACTGGGATTGTTCAGTTTAAAAAATACATGACTAAGGAGGGATATGATAAAGGTCTATAAAATCGTGAATGGTGTGGAGAAATTGAATAGGGAAGTGCTCTTTATCCCCTCACATAACACACAAAGCAGGGATCACCAAATGAAATTAATAGGCTGCAGGTTTAAAAAAATATATAGTACTACTTCACACAAGTCAGTCAACCTGTGGAACTACTTGCCAGAGGTGGTTGTGAAGGCCAAAAAATGACGGTTGAAAAAGAATTAGATAAGCTCCTGGAGGATTGTCCATCAATGTCTATTAGTCAAGATAGTCAGGGATGCAACCCCATGGTGAGGGCGTCTCTAAATCTCTGGCTGCCAGAAGTTGGGACTAGATCACAGGGGATGGATCACTTGATGAAGAGCCCTGTTCTGATCATTCCCTCGGAAGCACCTGGCACTGGCCACTGTTGGAAGACAGGATATTGGGCTAGATAGACCATTGATCTGATGCGGTGTGACCATTCTGGTGTTCTTAAGGATTCACTGCAGCCTTTCTTGTAATAGCCCTACAATCTTTCCAATGTAAAGCTTCCCATTTAATGCAGATATTTATCCTACATGGCATTGCATTCTGTTTATACTAGATCTGAACACCACAGGGACATTGAATGAAATTGAAAGGAGGGAAAATGAAGACTGATCAAAGGAAGTATTTTTCCACACAGCCTATAATTAGACTGTGAAACTCATTGCCACAAGAAGTCATTAAGGCCACAAACTTAGCAGGATTCAAAAAGGAACTGGACATTTATATGGATAACAAGAATATGCAGAGTTATAATAGTTGATGCTAAAAAAATACTTTGAAAGTAATATTAAACTTCATGCTCAGGGTTTAATTCAACCTCCAACTCTTAGGAGTTAGGAGGACACTTCTATAAGGAGCAGATTATCCCACATATGCCTAATATTAGATTTCATACTCCTTGTTCCAAAGCATGTGGTGCTGGGCACTGTTGGTGACAGGATACTGGATTAGATGGCCGATGGATTTGAACCCACATGTCAATTTCTATGTTCCCATGTAAAGTATGGTGTAAATCTATGGTGCTATATAATTAACTACACACAAAAAAACTATTAAAAGAATATTAGTTAGGCTGCCAAGTCAAGCACTCAGAAGTTAGTACTAATACCATTACTAAGGTTGTCTGTGCAAGCTTCACTCACCCCCTTTGTGTGTATGCATAATGGTACAGTCTGTAATTACATCATCACATGCTATTCTTTCTACATGACCCCAGCATATGCACAGTCCTATCAATACTGGACACTTCGAGGGGATGGAGAATGCTCAGAGAAGCCAGAATCTTTGGGGATTTTAGCTGTTAAGTTTAGCAAGTCTGAGTATATGCAAACTGCATTTTTTTTCAAAGGTCTAGAACTTGGCCAAATTTGGGTAGACTTTCATGGAGACAGCAAAAGACACATCACACAAACACACACACCACCTACACTGTCCCGACGGCCAAAATTTCAAGTCCCTGCTCCAAAATATGAGGCACTAGAGCTTTTCAAAGAAAAGATCTCAAGAATTTAACATGGGCAGAACAACATATTTTTCCCTAGCCTCATTCTCAGAAATAACTGAGCCATGCTGGCTGCAATTTTCCAGAACAATTCAGCTTGAGGCAGACACCCAGCATAGATTCATAGATTCTAGGACTGGAAGGGACCTCGAGAGGTCATCGAGTCCAGTCCCCTGCCCGCATGGCAGGACCAAATACTGTCTAGACCATCCCTGATAGCATGGAAAACTTCAGCTCAAATGGTTAATATTTGGCAAAGTTGTAAACAATTAAAGGCAGGGTCTTATAATGGGAAGGGTTTGGCAACCTTAATAATAGGCTGTGCTATCAGTCCCAACTATAATTAATAATGCAAAAGCCCATAGTCTTAACAAATTATGTTAAGCAAAAGAGAACCAAAACAGCCTTCCTTTCTCCATGAGCTCTGAAATACACCATATCATCACAGATAATAAATCTTTTGATCGTAGCCACCCGGCCACACAACCTCCTCTATAGACTTTTAGCACAACTGACTAATTGTAATTGATCTGTTTTATTTTGCAGTGGGTGTCCATAGGAGAGTACTAACAAATAATAGGATTAACCTACTTGTACTCCAAATGTTATGGTTTCCCTGTGGAAATACAACTGCAAGGCTGTTTTTTTTCTTTTCTTCTGGATATCAATATCGTAATCCTTAAAGACAAAATATGTAACAGTCAATTTCCAGCATCTGCTTCACCATCAGCCAATAAATAAGAATATTATAATATTGAGATGTCCTTGATCTGCCATAATATAACGCTGTTCACATTCATTGCCGGTGGAGTTGCTTAGATACAACAGTGATAGGAGTTGCAGGAATGAAAGAGAGAGACAGGTAAACCTCTTCTAATGTACAATTCAAGACATTCAAACTGTTATTTCAGGGATGGTTACTTTGTGTTTTCTAAATGACGAGACAAAACATGTTTAAAATATAAATATTCTTCACAATGCATTGCACATTATGTATTTTTATTAGCATTATTAATTACTATTATATTATTATTTGTATAATATGGGAAGTTTTTTCCAGACCATACATTTCAAAAGGACCCTTATTAAAGCATGCACATATCCACAGGGTGATAGGTCAAGAGCAGGAAGAACCATAATGCATTTAATATTGGACTATATAATTTAAAAAAAAACATATTTGAAAATGAAACAATGTAAAGTCAAAAATACATACCTGGGGGAGGACTGAGCATCTGGGAATGGAGGATTTATAGATGGGGACAAAGAGAGAGACTAATGGAATGGAGGAATGATAGGATTAATGGAATGGAAAGAGGACTGATGGATAGTGAGGGCGGATAGAATTGGTGGGAGACAAATTGATGGATTAGGGCAAGCAGGCAAATCAGTGCACTGAGGGAGAGGGAGAACTAATGGTGGAAGGGGTAGAAATGCCTGAATATGTGTGGAGGTGATTGATGGATGTGGGTGGGGTTGTGTAGCATGGGCCTCATGTTGGGATTTTAAAAATTTGCATTACAAATCCCACATATAACTGTTATGCTTTTTTTTTTTGGCTGTACCAAGGTAGGCAGATCTGGACAGGACACTACCTGTTTGCTTAGCTATAACATTTCTTTTGACAGATTTGGGTAATGTCTTTTATGGTCCCTGAAGCAGGGGAGGTGGGGGGGAGCAAGCTTTGTACATGAGCATAATGAAATAAGTAAGCTATGTGTAAGTGCCAGCTAAAGCTGGTTAAGAGGGTTTGTGTTAATCCATTTAATTTGCGCCAGATGTGCTTGCAAGGAAGAATTTGGATTAGTGAAGCCTGGAAAGGTCAAAGGGAAAGCAACATTCTCTGATATACAAGTGGAAGTACTAGGATAAAAACTGCCTGTTTTTGATAACTCTGCAATTGTCAGAGTAGTTATTGATTTTATTCACAGTACTGGGAGAGACTTTGAAAGGGAGCAGGGGATCTTACTGGAGGAGGTATCCCCAGCGGTGAGTTATTAATATTCTAGGAACATACGGGCCATTAGAGAGTACCCAAAACGCCTGTGCTGATGGGGTTCAGAGTGGTTAGTAGATTTAACCTGGGTTTTATGGGACAAAATGTCCACATTACAAAAAGCCACTGCTGCAATCAGCTTTAATTAGCATCTTTGTTGGCAATATCTGCAAATGCATCAAGGCCTTTTTTTGTATGTGAACTTAAAAAGCAGTATTAAATGCTGACATCCAAGTTTGTCGTCCACTCTGTCTCTTCCAGGGACTGAATGGTCAAAAACGTCAAACAATCTCATTGCCCTTAAAAACAAGGAGGGCTCCTTGTGGCACCTTAGAGACTAACACATTTATTTCGGCATAAGCTGCCACAAGGGCTCCTCATTGTTTTTACTGATACAGACTAACATGGCTACCACTCTGAAACCTGGCATTGCCCTTAGTGACTGGCCTGCAAGAGGACTGTTTTAATAGAAAATTAGATCATGTTAGAATGCAGCTCTGAGAAGCAGGTCCTCAGATACTATGGTGATGATCATGATGTGAGAACCTATATAGATTAGAATAGAAGGCATGTTAACTAATATGATAAATGTGACTCTCTGTAGACAGGTGCAGGTCATGTTTAACATTGTGTCAGCTGCTCGCAGGTTAACACGGGGTGAAGTGTGACTTTTCTGTCTATACTAGCTACAAAGTCAAATTTAATATCATTTGTGTTAACGTATCTCCAGGTTTGTATTCTATAAGTCCCAAAGTCAGGGCTGAGACACATGGGTAGGGCAATGTAGGGAAGCTTCCATTGTTGACGGCCATGCCCTACCTACTCTGTAAACAAACTGAAATCTGTTTATCTACCCAAGAATCTTTGCAAGCATTACATTCACGTTGTATTTATTTTTTAAAGTAGAAACAAACAAAAATGGACTATAATAAATTGTGTGGCTGATTGAAAAATTCTTTATGTGGAACTAACTTTATGTGTGCCACTGTAACACTTCTGATTTAACAGTTCCGTGGGCCGCTCCAACCGTCCCACAAACTGCTCAGCTCTACCAGCCATCCCATGAACCGCTCCAGCTGCCCCTGCAAATGGCTCAGCTCCGCTCGCTGTTCAATGGGCCGCACCAACCATCCCACAAACTGCTCGGCTCTGCCAGCTGTTTAGCAATATCTTCAGGCTCCCCCACTGGTTAACACAGCACTCAGTGATCTCAGCTCAGCAATTTTAGCTCTTAGTGATTTCAGCTTGTAGTAGGGGAGCCCCAGTGCTGGTGCACCATTGGCCCAAAGTGAATTCAGTTCAGCAACTTCTAATGGAAGCAAACTTAGCTCTGCTATTCAACAGTGGAGAGAGGGAATAGTGCAACACACCATGTCTACCACTTCCCCCCGATCCGCAAGGCTTGTTACCCTGTCGGATAACTGGTCTGTAATTCCCCAGGTTGCCCTTATTTCTCTTTTTATAGATTGGCACTACATTTTCCCTTTTCCAGGCCTCTGGAATCTCTCCTGTCTTCCATGACTTTTCAAAGATAATCGCTAATGGTTTAGATATCTCTTCAGTAAGCTCCTTGAGTATTCTAGGATGTATTTCATCAGGCCCTGGTCACTTGAAGACATATAACTCATCTAAGTAATTTTAACTTGTTCTTTCCCTATTTTAGCCTCTGATCCTACTTCATTTTCACTGTCATTCACTATGTTAGACATCCAATCCCTACTAAACTTTTTGGTGAAAACCGAAACAAAAAAGTAATTTCACACTTCTGCCACTTCCACATTTTCTGTTATTGTCTTCCCCCCTCACTGAGTAACTGGCCTAGCCTGTCCTTGGTCTTCCTTTTGCTTCTAATATATTTGTAGAATGTTTTCTTGTTACCTTTTATGTCTCTCACTAGTTTAATCTATTTTGTGCCTTGCCCTTCCTAATTTTGTCCCTACATACTTGTGTTTGTTTATATTCATCCTTTGTAATCTGACCTAGTTTCCACTTTTTGTAGGACTCTCTTTTTTGAGTTTCAGATCATTGAGGATCTCCTGGTTAAGCCAGGGTGGTCTCTTGCCATGCTTCCTATCTTTCCTATTCCAAGGAATAGTTTGCTCTTGAGCCCTTAATAATGTCTCTTTGAAAAACTGCCAACTCTCTTGAACTGTTTTTTTCCTTTAGACTTGCTTTGCATGAGATCTTACCTACCAACTCCCTGAGTTTGCTAAAGTCTGCCTTCTTGAAATCCAATGTCTTTATTGTGCTGTTTTCCTTCCTACCATTCCTTAGAATCATGAACTCATAATTTCATGATCACTTTCACCCAAGCTGCCTTCCACTTTCAAATTCTCAACCAGTTCCTCCCTATTTGTCAAAATCACATCTAGAACAGCTTTCTACACCTTGTCTCCAATACATTCCAAGAACTTGTTGGCTAATCAGTGCACTGCTGTGTTATTTTCCCAACAGATGTTTGGGTAGTTGAAGTCCCTCATCACCACCAAGTCCTGTGCTTTGGATGATTTTTAGTTTCTTGGTTTTTTTAATCCTCATCCACCTCTTCTTCCTGGTTAGGTGGTCTGTAGCAAACCCCCCCTACCATGACACACCCATATATATATATATATTTTACCCCTTTTATCATTACCCAGAGACTTTAACAAGTCTGTCTCCTATTTTCATCTCAACCTCAGTCCAAGTGTTTACATTATTAATATATGTCAACACCTCCTCCCTTTTCCCTGTCTGTCTTTCCTGAGCAAGCTATACTCTTTTATATCAATATTCCAGTCATGTGTATTATCCCACCAAGTCTCTGTGAGACCAACTATGTCCTAGTTGTGTTTATTAACTGGCATTCCAAGTTCTTCCTGCTTATTCCCCATACTTCTCACATTAGTATACAGACATCTAAGAGTATACAGACATTTGATTCTCACCCTCATGTTCTCTCTTCTCTCCCTTATCCCTGCTATAACAGCCCATGCTCTCCCCAGATTCTGACCCTTCTCCCAGTGTCCTTGTTGTTGGTTTTTTTACTTACCCAACTTTTTGACCCAGAGGTAACTATACACAATATTTCAGGAATATTTGTTCCTATAAAAATGAATTTGCTACAACCTTTTGCTTTCTATGCATGTTCTGGCAAATGCGCTTACTAGCATAAATGAAAGCTGCAAACTTTAAGTGAGCAATTGGAGAATATACACAAAAAGCAAATTTTAAACTCCTAAAAGCAAGTATGCACACCATAAAGTTGATTCTAAGAGTTAGTCTCTCTGATTCAGAGAGCAGAAACAATACCATGGTATCTATATATCTAATCCAAGTCAATCAGTACAGGCAGTTCTCCAATGCTACTTGTTTGCACTGAATTGCTCATGAACAGCTGCAAATCAAGAAGTATTTGTGGATATTATTTGTCATATAATTTTGAATATGAGACAATTGTAAGATGCTCTAAAATAATCCATGAACAGGAAAAGAAGCTAATTTTGTCAAGTTTATAGCTATTGTTGATACACTTGGCTCAGATAAAGAGCAACATTTCTAGCCTATTTGGACATCCGTGGTGGATAATTGAGGGGAGAAGCCCTTGAGGGCAGGAGGAAAGAGAGAATAGAATCTAGCAGGATCTCTAGAAGGGAAGATTGAAAATTTGCTATATTCTGTATATGGAAACATGATTGCAGTTGCCGCAGGGCACTGGAGTCAAACAGGCTATTCCAGTGTAGGCTGTTCCAATATGTTTTGGTTTGTATGTTTTAATTTGCTTTTGTGTGTGGAGGTGACCTTGATTGTCCTTAATTGAATATTATTCCCAGGTCGAGAAGTGATCAACTCTCTACAGTGGGCAACAATGACAAGTCTTCGACCACATGCTTCTGGCTATGATGCGCATAGATATGTGGGATCCTCTAAACCCATCCGTACATCAGGATGTTCCTGTTAGCATACTGTAGGGCATTTTATTCCTTCTGAATCATAAATGCGGTATAATCCACAGCCTAACTCTGAGGAGGGGGGAGAAGATACTATTGAAATAACACAAGCCAACCATCGGAAAGATTTCTTCCCCCTCATGAATCAATCTCTACGACGGTGCTTTATGACTTTTCCAGTCTGTCACCTCTTTTCCTTCAAGGATTTGCAATATACTGAGTAAAAAGCAATCTTGGTTAGAAACTTAATTAACGCCCTCTAACATCATTATCAGCACTTCACAGCACTGCAATCCTAGCCATTGTGTTGGGCCCTCCATTACCAAGTGATATATTGATGAAAACTCTCCCTTGTGAAAACCACTTATGCAACGTATGTGGTAAAGCGTGCAGCATAATGGCTTCCGCGGGTGCCACTGTGGCTGGAAACGGTGGAAAAGGGC